TACCCCAGTGACAACCGTGTCAAACATTTCCTTAGTAGACAGAATTACTAACTTGAATCTTTTAGTAGCACGTACAGACCCTCGCTGTCGTCATGAACAATTCGTTCCAATTACTTTCTACCTTCTAAGCCACCATCCGCACGAGGTGTGGACACCGCAACTCATTGAATCAAGTAGAGCAAAGTTCATTGTGCATAATTCGTGAGATTCCTTCACCTGTTCATTGGTATGAATTCTGTAACCTTTACCTGGCACTCGACCAAACATTTTGAGAAACGAATATTTGCGAGGAAACTTATGGACGCTCCATAGCTCGGATTAAGATAAATTCTAAGCAATAGGGAAGCCATCTTGAAAGGATATTTACTAGCTCAGAAAAGTCACACATTTGCGTCAAAATTTCACCTTGATTCGAAGTCTAGTCACTAAAAGTCTTAAATGACATCCCACCAAGAAACAAGAAATCTTGGCGAGATCCCAGTATTTTATGGCACAGAAACTAGAGCAACTGGGACTTTGCGCTCAGTGGCGCGGCATACTTATTTCTATCACTGAAAATAACTCGTGTGCAACCGAAATCTACCCTCTTTGTAGTTTAATTTAATTTACTGATGCTGGAGTATACGGTATCTGTCCGTTTGATTGATTTATATGTAAGTACTGATGATGTACAACCTCGCTTACTGGGCTTTGGTTCACGAGCTTTGTTTCTGTTTTAGATCCACAGAAATTGTCGTGAAAACCTGTTTTCGAAGAATCACTGTCCCCTGGTGCGACAAACGAGTTTTACTCCGCTCACCACTAACTGTCCGATTGCTTGCAGGGATCTAACAGAAGGCATACCTTTCTCTTTTAAACGTAATTTATAGAGTAGGATGTGCAAGGCTGCCTCGTTTTGGGAGTATGAAAACCTGTTAGTTTGTCATGAAATTATGCCAATAACCGGTAACAAGGAGCATCAAATGACGTAGAGTTTACGCATGCTGTTTCGATTGCCTGCACGGATCTACACTTCGATTATGTTTCGCTTCCAAAAAGGATACAAAATCGAGCCAACTCACCCTGACGAAAGGGAAACTGCCTTTCTTGGGGTGTACCTGACTCATTCAGATCGTTCCGGAACAACTAGACTCAACTAATTATCGAGTACTGAGGGCTTCGAAATCGCACTGACAAAGCCAGAGCTCGGTGTTCTTAGGCTACCACTGAGGTCCAACATGTGTTGACCAAAGTCCAGTCTAGATATACTCTCAAATGTGATAACCATTTGGTCATTTTTATTCGTTTGGGCTTCTAATGATCATTCTACAGCACTTGACGGTTAAAGTTCATTGCGTTCCCTGAAATACACGTGCATGACCTATTTTTCATGCTAACTCGCGATGGTCTGGCGTAGTCACAACTACAAAGTATAGGCCATCATTTGCTATTTTTCGCTAACCTTTGCACTCATTCTAAAGTTCCACTCGAACGATTTGTTCCACGTACTCTAATTGAGACCAGCCCTTGGAATATACTCTTTTTCTGACGTGGCTAATGGTGTGCTGTCGAGGAATTTTTCAGCAACCTTATGAGTAGTGCATTACGAACAGACGTGACAGACGTATAAGTGGTTGCCTCGAGGTCATTTTTATTACGACATTCAGGGAGAAGACGAGGAGAGGGCAACCCATACGTACACCGTTTTTTGCGTATTGAACTCACAAAAATCTTCTGTGAATGTAAACGCAGAAGTGAAAAGGAGGTCTCTAGAATATTTTCGCTAGTTCGGCAGTGTTTTTATACAAAGTAGTTGAGTGTGACGACAGGTGTTTTTTATCAAAAAAGACAATAATCGTTGATCATCTGTTGGTATGGCAATGCTTGAAAAGTTGTTGGCAGGTGATATAGGACTACGACCTAGGCGGAGCTGTTTCTGGACTTCGTTGGTTCTCGCAAGGATTTTTAGAGCATTACAGTCAGACGGATACCCCAGCAGTTTCTGTACTGTCCGGAACTTGTCACTCATTCTGTCTGCAATGGATCAGGCGTCCACGAACATGTCTAGCAAAAAAGAATCTGTACCATGTGACTTTTTTCTTTCAAGGATTTCAGTTTGGCACAAACTTCCGATTCAAAAAAAGCTGAGTGACCAACCGTTTATTCCACTTCGTCCCATTCTTCAGTATCCTTGTGGGAGTTGAAGATCAACTGAACTCATTTCCAACCGTGTCCCACCGAACATTGTAGACCTCGTCTTGTTTGTCAGTAGATAAGAAATTCATCTCTTTCTTGGATGAATTTGCGAACATCATTTGCTTTTCTGATGTTGTTTTGAGTAAGCTAAATTATGGGTTGATTACCAGCACTGATGAAGACGTTTTCAGCTTGCTGCGCTCGCCGTCACTTTGCAAGCCTTTTAACGGACAATCATTCAGCGTCAAGCGGTAACTGATGAGATATTTCTCATTTATCAGCAAAAGTGGCGAAGCGCTGGGATATCTGTTAACGAATCAGTCAAAGCTGGGTGTCCAGGTATTTTGAACAAAAGACTGCAGTCATGACAACTTGAATGTTTTTTTTTCAAAACATTTTTCTCTCTTTTCCGAGGCTGTCATTGAAGCAGTCAACACACTTCAGTTTTATACTTTTCTGATCTGGAAGGTTCTTGCATAAAATGTGTTACAATGTGAGAAACACCTCTTTGCTTCACGGTCAGAGAATGAACAGTCAAGCAAGCCCAACAGCATTGTTATCATCGGTAGCTGACTCAAGTTTGCTTGTAAGCTGGAAGACGCCTGGATGCTCCTGCGTTGAAAGTTAATGTCTAAAATGAACGAATCAGTGTCTGCACCAAAATGAGCAAAACCATCATCATTGTTGGTCAGTGGGAGAGGAAACGCTGAATTTCTGAATCTAATTTTGCCTGAGGTCACAAAGTCGTCCGATTTGAGCATCCATTTCAACAATTAGAACGGGGACATCAAAATGGCCTGTTGCAAAAGATTCAAAATGTTACGGAGAAACGTTTTTCTCTACATCCGTCCTGCTATTTTTTGGATACCAAAAATTGATGGAGTAAGCATCACTTTGACGGTTCACAGAACCCCAGTCTTACAGCACCTATGACCCTCATGTAGAGCTTTACACCGTAAAGATTACAAGACTCGACTTCAGAATCACCTGATTTCATAAGCGTCCAGGGTTCGGGTGAAGCGAGAAAGCGTTTTTAGAGGTGCCTACCTTTATCCTTTGATTCAACAGTCTCGCTTACAAATTATCAAGTATAAGGATTGTTCTCATGAACCTCATGGAGAGCCAACCATCCTTTGGTCTGATCCAGCTGTGTTGGGGTTCAGACTTAGCTCAGACCAAAGCATAATAGCTGACACCTTTTCAACCTGGCGCATGTCTTTTGAGCCACGTAGGTAGGTGTTGGTCGCTTTCCTACCGCAGGCAACATTCATGTTTAACGGATGACATAACAGATTAAACAATCTTTGATATCAGTACTTGCTAGCCCTTTGTCCTCCTGGAGAGGGCTCTATCTCCGCCTCCCTCACTATGGAAATGATGATCGCCTGGAGGAACGCCTTGGTGTCTTCACAACCGATCCTAGAGGATACTGCAAATTTACCTAGTACGGAATCTCTCTGCTCCTCGTCTCATTACACAACTTCGTCCCTTTTGGCAGATGCAAACCTTGGAGAATTGAGTTTCCTGTATTTTGGCCCACCGCCTTTGGATCCATACCAAAGGGACAGCTCTCGGTCACGTGATAAGGGAAGTATAGATCTCTACTTGTAAGGGACCAAAAAGAATGCTTTTGAGATAATGCATTGCTTTCCTTTCCTAAATCGCGGTAGATGTTACGCAGCCACTCATCATAGGTGAGAATCGAAACCATATTCTTCCCGGCCACAAATGAGCATTTAGGTAAGTGTACCACTGGCCACCATCCAGTATTCAGCGTCGCAAATTTCTATCGTATGACGGTAGCAACAGGCTTCTTGCGCATGGACTTCCGAAGAAAATGTTCCTCAAGATTTTTTACAATGTTCCCTCTCAAATCACAAACTTACAGTAACTTCTGGCACATTTTGAGCTCGATGATCCGTCTCCTTTATTTTGAAGATTGCGGCTGAAACCCAATGAATCTATCAAAATGAAAGATTTATGCGATGAGAATTTTAGAGCTGTATGATAGTTTGCTTCCTGCTGTAGTTGACTGAGCAATTTTCCACGGGATCTCCTGGTTTCCACACCATCGGTAATCCTGCTCAATTCCAACCCTGTGTATACACTATGAAAGTTTCCTTTTCGGACCATCTGTTTGCTAACCTGACTACCGATTGTTTTCTCAGCCAGTCATCGATCCACACAGACGACAATACAAAGCTAGTATCTCGGTATTAGTGTAGGAAAGATTTGTTTAGTGATTGAAAACTGCTTCTAGGGATCCAAGGCTGACACATTTTTGCCAATGAGAGATTTTCGAGTGTGAAATTCACTCACTTCAGTTCAAATGATTCTGAATCGAAATTATCTAGCCTTGCTTTGCAATCAGCCCTCTGTTTCTGATTGCTCCAAAACCGATTGGCTAAGAATATCTTTCAAGACCGATATCGATCGGAACTCTGATAACTATTCAGTTTCTTTTTTGGTCGTGTGCATATTGTATGTACTCACAATAACTCTAGGTGAAAAAAATTGTCCAATGCGCTGACTGATAGCTACCATACAACACAGTTGTCTAAATCCAACATTAACAACAATTATAAGCAATATAAGTGAGGAACACAGTGATACATTCAAGCCATCACTTTTGTTTGAAAACGCTGAAGCGGACTCTTGAGTTCCCAATTATGGCCTGCATTGTGGAGGCGGAAATTGGCAGTTCTGTTAGATCAAAACAGTGCAAACTCTTTTTTACTCACACAATGTCTAACTAAATTACATTTGTACACAGATTATCGTAATCAATATGCGCACCATAACCGAATTTCTAGACTTACGATACGATGAACGCGAACGCCTACCTTGATACCGATTGGTTGGGATTCTGTCGAACCAAATCAATAGACAGCTATAAGGACAGACTAATCACCACCGTCGCAAACTCTCTGGGTGTAACTGGTAATCCGCGGTAAGTTTTCTTGCAGATATTTCCGTGTTTCTAGTTCAGGTTAATCAAGAAGCTGGGTAATGCCACCCATATGCAATTTCTGAAGTAAATTTGGGGTAAAGTTGTAAGTAAACACGACCCAAATGACGAAAATGTAAAGTGTTTAGGAAGAAAGCCTCTGTTGTGACTTGCTGAACGGTAGTGCAACTCTGTGTCGGTCCCTTGGCTTCCTGTTCCGCCCACTATGGTATATCAAGAGGCACGATAGCTCCACACAACTCTTTATGGAGGCAAACGGAAATTATTACAACTGTATTCATAGAGTAGTCACAGAGTGTTCCGCAAGGTCTTGCCAGAATCTGCGGGCGGGGAAACGAAAAGCGTCGAGTCAGAAGTACTTGACTCGGACTGGCTGGCATGCCTTCGTTTGGCCCGTGTCCTGCACGTGACGCATCCGTCCAAATGTTGTGGTGTTCGGTTATTGTGGAGGGCTGGCCTCCGTACAGCCTCATAACCTTCCCTAACCTTGATCGGAATGATCGATTAAGGCCGACTGTTTGGGCCTGAGTTCTCACTTTGTTGTAATTACGCTACGTCGCCTATCGAAATTTAGAGTAGCCAACTATGCAGCAGATTTTCTCATCATATGGAGATGTCCATAGGTGAAATCTGCACTCAACTAATGGGTTAGAGGAGAGCCATCACCTGTTGTTCTAGAGAACTTCTTGTGGTTTGTCTACACACAAAAAACCCCAGAAAACTCTGGGCTAGAGGTTTTCTCTCACTGGGGTTCATTGGCAGTTCATGTCCTAGATTGGGCCCGGCTGGACATCTGACATCCAAGACAGGTATGTTACCACTACTCTACCGGAGGCACCAGAATTATAACGCATACCTGAACAGTGTCCATACTTGAGTAGTGGGATTGGTTCACCTCACATCTCGAAGGATAACCCACCCGCTGTCCTATTTTGTCGATCGACTGACCCAGTCAGATGGCCCTTCGTAGGTTTGGACACGCTTGGGAAAACTTTGCTCAACTGTAAGTCGTTATGAAACACACGGTTTTCGGCCTGAAAAAAAATTCTTGTCAGTCTACACCATTTTTGCCGGTTGAGACATGATCCTTCCCGTGTGTCCAACGTGCGCTGACGGTGCAGCAGTACCTTACTCGCTCCATATAGCATATACCCGAGGTTTAAAGCCCTGCAGAACCGAAGATGTGTACTGCCGACCGGCCTTAAATTAGAACTAGTCCAGTGTCCTCTCTCTTCTGTGTGAGTTGGCCAGGGTGCAGCACATTCAGTTGTCTGAGAACAGCACAGACGAGAGATTCAGCTGAGTTCCAGGTAAGCCTCTCGAAAAAACCAAATTAGTTTGCAAATGAGTGTATATTCGTTAATTTCGTGCAATTTGGTTTCAAGTAGAAAATAATGTTGACGGAAACCCGGGGGCTGCGCCTACCTGATGAGCCTCCAATAGGGCAAAAGCGGTCGTGGGCCAATTTGGTTTCAAGTAGAAAATAATGTTGACGGAAACCCGGGGGCTGCGCCTACCTGATGAGCCTCCAAAAGGGCAAAAGCGGTCGTGGGCTGTCAACGGATTTTCAGCAACCTTACGAGTAGTACTTACAAATATATACATGTATCGCGATATCTCGAATATCTTAGCGACTGAAATATGAGGCGGCCTGATGCAGCACATTCAGTTGCCTGAGAACATCACAAACGAGAGATTCAGCTGGGTTCCAGGTAAGTTGCTCGAATAAACTAAAACAGACTGAATCATACGAATGTTCTAACGTGTCGGATGACGCGTAACACCTGAAAAACTTTGTTGAGGGGTTGAATCACTCACTGCTACTTCCAAGTAACCTATTATGTACGTTTAGTTACGTTTAGCGATTATGCAAAATTAAACTTCGTTTCTTTTCTATGACTACAAAAATGAGTTAACATCGTGTTTTCAACCAGAGTGGCGTTTGCGCCATTTTCTACCCACAGTCACGTCAGCAAACAAACGCCACGGTGTTCCGTGAACTAAGTTTATCGATTTGGTTCTCGTCAATTCAGAAAGGACTTCTTCCCAATAGTGGAAATTTGATGGTAGCGTAAAAAACTTTATGATTTTATGGTTCTTGTTGTGTGTGTAAAGTAAATGTATGTTGAAAAGTCAGATGTTTCAGTCGTATTGGAAGGAACTCAGAGACTTTCGAACTTGTGACCTTCTTACTGGTGTTCCAACACTTAGCTGTTTGGTGGCGAGTGGCTGAACAGCTCTCACTTATGCAGACAGGATATGGTTCCTCTTATCCTTCAGTTATAGAAGCCACATCACGTGGTCAATTATCGATTGGTTCCCCAAGTGACGACTTCTCACGTGAACGTTTCACTCGTCTTGTGAAATTATTCTTCCCCCGAGCTACTTATGCATCGATTGTGATGTGGGTTCTACTCGAGATTTCGTGTTATCACTGAGACGAAGTTAGTCTGAACAGCAGAGAATCACTGTACAGTTGATTCGTCCTTCCCGGGTATTGTGAACAATGAGCCATCTACTGCACTCTTAGGGGGGTTGGATTCCTCAATCTTCTCACTGATATATGGAAGCTCAATAGTGTGGCTATGGTCGGTTGATCAGCAGTGCGATTAACTCATATTTAGACAAGATATATACGTATATAAGTGCAGTATGTGTAGTATGTATGCCACGCGTAATTTTTAGCATAAAAACAGTAGCTTTTATCATATTGTATGCTTCTGGACACAAAAAATCGAAAGAACTCTATGTTTTTAACTCACAGTGGAAGCCTTGATCCGAAGAGTCCTCACATTGACTCACTGACATTAATGACTCTAGTTCAACAGGGTTTTCCAGCCTGAATACTGGCTTCCATGCCTTTAATGCAGCAGTCGAAGCTGTGATATTCAGTATGCTTTTAAAATATATTTTCCAACCTGATAGACCAGAGTGCACTGGTCTTGGCAGACAGCCCATCTTGCAAGAAACTCTGTGGTCTAGCCACCTTTCTTTGGAGTACCCACTCGTCAAAAGTAGTCTTTTCGGTAAGGCAATGCATCAAGGCTTGTGTGGCTTTTCAGAACCACTGCCCCCACAGTCGGCCGCCGTTCTGATATATTTGCACGTATGACACCGCATGTGTTTTCTAGGCTCAGGGGTCATGCCATGAAATTCTTACTCGGTGAAATAGTAACTCGAAATTTAGGATGTCATAAACTGTTTTACTTGTCTAGCATTATGAAAACGCAGGTCAAAGGCATACAGTATTCCAAAAGCTGTGAACGTTTAAAAGAATGGCTTTTTAGACGCTGCCCAAGTGAACACATAAGGAGTATCAACCGGTCAGTTTTTGCTCAGTTGGCAGACACGAAAACTGCTACAGCCTCCACAGTCATCTAAGAACTTATTCAAAAACCAATAAGATCGGTTGATATTAGGAGGCCGAGTAATGGAAAAGTTGTCACCACGTTTTAAGGCATCATGTCCAGAGGTCTCTCCTAATTTGCTTTGGCCACAACTGAACAACGACCAGTCAGCTAGAACCGATCCGATTGACTATTTTGAATAGCGCACTTTCATTGGCTCACTGGTGATTAGTCGGTGTTGCATTTTTCGACCTTACCATTCCTGTCAACTGCTTTCTTGTTCGAGTGTAAGAAGTTGCAAGATTTTTGGAATTTCTGCTCTCGTGTGAAACTCCGTCATCCTGCCCCAACACTACAAACGGCCCATTTCAACCGAACCGCTTATACAATTCTGAAAGAGCTTAAGTGATCCCTGCCTACAAATGTCTATTTTCAGACAACCTCTAATAACCCATCTCTAGGTAACAAGCTGTTTTTTTTCATTTGGGATCCGCGAACCGGATTCCTCGATAGGAGTTTGTTTTGGAAAAAATTCTATGCGCATGTTTATTGGTGTAATCCCAGACGGGGTTGTCAAGCCAAACAGAAGCTCTTCTAACAGCATCGCCCAAACTTCGACAGGCAGTGAATTATAAGGGCTCTTCATAGAGGAAACTAATCACAGCATTGCTATAAAGACTTCTGAACTCATCACGCAGATGCAGTCCATGAGTTTTTGTCAACCTTATGTTCTACTTGAACCCAAATTGGACTGATTTCGACAAGTACACTCTTTGGCATACCAGTTCGGCTTTCACAGGAGGATCCCCTGATACCCAGCTGAACCTCTCGTTTATAACAACATAAACCAGGCGACCTTCTAACAGTGCCTTCAGCTGAAAATGTCACAACCGAGAATTTCAGCTGGGTTTAAGGTAAGTTACCTATCAAAACCAAATTGATATGCAAATGCTTTTATTTGTGGAAAGACCCATATTTATTCGACCGTTCAGATACCTTAAAGGGGTGTTAAGTAATTTTGTTTGAAGGTAATATTGACAGTCGTGACAACCGGTGAAAGGAAAAAAACCTTCACTGAGGAGTTATTTATTAGAAAATGCAACTACTGACTATTGGACAGGGAAGCAAAACTCTCATATGCATCTTGTTTACAAAAACTGAATACCCATCCCCTCTTTAAACGCGTCTTCCTAAACTTTCCTGAATAATCATTGACTGTTTCTCAAATCCAAGCAAATGATACAGGGCGACTCCACAAATTCCGCAATAGATCTCACTTTTAAAGAGACGCAAAGCGGATTTACGTGAAAACATACTACTCGCATGAATCCCCCATCAGTAGTTTCACCGTTACACCGGTAGTTCTTTTCATAATGGACAAGGAGTGTTTATTCAGATCTAAACAATTTTCGTAACAATAATGTTTACTGTATCAGATTTCTATCAATTCGCTATTAGTTAAGGTGTTAACTTATGGATAGGTAATGCGTCAGCCATTGGAATGCAGAAATCGGAGGCTTACGGGCTAGAATAGTCTGGAACAGGCATTCTTCTGTGGAGTCCTAATTACCGTGACCTGCTCTGGTGTTTTTACAGATGGCAAAATGCGGCAGAGGGTATCAGATGACACTTTCGTGGATTCCGTGTCAAAATGGGAATGTCCCGAATGCCGCTGTCGATGCCGCAGATGGGGGCGGCATATATGTTTGTAGGGCAGCCCACAGTGGAGATGACATCCCCGGCAAAGTTGTTCCGGTGTTCGGTAAAGCTTACGTGCCCTACGGTGGTGAAGAACATGAAAAGTATTCGTATGAGGTGCTCTGTGTCACTGGATCTCACGGTGGTGGTTTGTGAGTTCTCTCGTTCATGTTAAAAACGATTGTTGCTTGATATAAAGGTATCACCCTCTAGTATATTCCCAACTCAGTAACTACATCATGTTATTCTGTTTTTGGTTACTGCGTCTTCGAGTATTCTGGGAGTCGTACCTACTGTAAGATAGCTTCATTTCTACAAGAACATTCCAGAGATAAAATGTGCTAATAAAAACGGCACGGAAGACATCTATGCCATTGATGACATTTTTGGTTATACTTGAATCTTTCTGTCTTCAAGTTTGAGAAGTTTGGAGCTGCAGGAATTCAAAAACTTAGCGGATTTCCTCTGTGCAGCCAACAAGCACCGAGAAGGATGGAATCACACACTGACGAGTAGAAACCTAAATGAAAAATAAAATTTTGAGAATCGTCCTGCTTGCGCTGGATTATGACTTTCAACCTGTTGCTATCCAGAGGGGAATTCTGGAAAGTCAAATCTCTGTCAGGAAGGTCACATTCCTGAAAGTAACCTCAGAACGCCCGGAACTTACTGCTTCACCAAAAACTCAACAGGAAAGCCGGCAAGCATCTAGGCCAGTCAATCATTCAATCAATTCAGCAAAAGCGGATGAGTGTTCTTGCACGCCACAAAAGCACGATCGAATGCGTTTCATAGAGGCACGACCGATGTTGATGGGTGTTCACTAACGTCTCTCAGACAGCCTGGATCAGTGTCAGTTAGTCCCCTTTAAATAGTGTGGGGTCGTTGTAACGTTTGCTCTCGCACTCGCTTGTTCGGAATATAGCGGTTGTGTTCCCTTTTTTCTCCGGCACTAGGCACTTGAGCGGGTTAGCAGCAGATACCACAGGTCGGCGAATCAGCAGATATAACACTATCCCTCTTAAACTCCTAAAGGGTGGACAATATCAACAGTGAACCAGCAATAGATACCGGAACTATCAAGCGAAACGTGCTTACCGTGTGGATGAACTTGAAATCAACCAGGTAGCTGAGTCACTCAGTATTGCTGAATCATTGCTTTCCAACCACAGAGATGGTTGGAATGGTAGGAAGTTCTAAATTAACAAAAAGAAGCTTTCATCCTGAGCTTTAACGTGTACGAACGTGCCTATGCCGTGCTGGCAATCCATCCTGCAAAGTCACCTAAAGAAATTTTCTGCAGCTCTTTGAATATCGTTTATGATTTCAGATATGTGACGCATTGTGTCTTCTGGGCTGGAATATCTTCTGTACGTTACGGAAAGCCAGTACACGTGAAGTTATGTAGCGCAATCAGATTACGATCAGCTAACACTGAATGTGGTTCAGAATAAATCCACAGCACTGATAGCTAAGAAACTCCGGTCTGAACATTTTAGGGAACGTGTAAACAAAGCAGCTAATTATCGAAGGGGCTGTTTGTGCGACTGCACAAAAGCCGAGCTGCAAACATGCAAACATCGTGCGTATTTTGATGTAAACCTTTTTTCGGTTAACCGTTGTCGATGAACTGTCCTTTTGACATCCTACGTTCGACTTTATCATGGAACTGTAAAAAATGCAACCAAGTCCCAAGGAGTTTACACCGTTTTTTTCAAGAAATACTGTATAGTTTTTGCGGTGGATAGTCCAATACAAAACACAGGTTTAGTCTCTTTTTTTGCCTGGAGGTACGTGAGAATTCCACCTCCTTGAACTGAGAGGTTCAAGTTTACACGAGATGATCTGAATGACGAGTGTGTGTGTGTGTGTGTGTGAAAACCTTTTTGTGTGAACATTTGGGCTGGTAGAAGTCGCAGGATCGGGTCAGGATACAGGAACAAGTCTGATGGACTCTGAGCTAGACAGCGGTACTCACTTCACTATCGTGAACCGCTGAGCGAGAAAGATAAACCCATCGGAAGACCGACTTTAATAAATGGATAATGGAAAAGGATACAAACTACCATAGAAACTTTTGGTTAACCCAAGGGTCGTCCATCTGAGAGAGACGTATATTACGTACGGCCTTAGATCAGGTCTTAAATGCAATCAATTTAAAGCAACTATCGCGCTCTCAAATCTGCGCAAACAGCGGTAGCCAAACTGCTCACCATGCGCAGGAAATACGTCATAAATATGACGTGTTGAGATGAGTGGGACCGTTGATCCTCCGACATTAGAAATAGGCGGGTAGCCTGGTGACCTAAACAAAAGATTCCCTATGTAGACAAGCCAGCTTGGCATTCGAAAACTGCGGGAAGCATTCGCTAAACTCAACTTTGGTCTGGGAGTTTGGTTAGATAGTCGAATTTTTATGTGCTAAGGTCGCAACCACTGGCAATCGGAGCAAGCCTTTCGGTTTTTCATCTTCACTCGTCAAACGGTGTTTGTTTAGAAATGACGAAACTCAGTCCAGAGTCGAGCCATTCTACGATTAAAACCCAAGGAATAGGCTAATTTATCCGGGAAAAATGTGTTTCCTCTGGTTAATTCACAGAAGCACTTGTCTCAGTGAAGTGGGTTTGACTAGGAGGATTGTTTTCAAGATGACTTAATCTGTGCGTGCTTGTATAGCGAAATATAATCTCGAAGCATTTCACCTCCCAGCGCCACATTTTCCATTCTAGTTACACGTGGAAAGCCGACAGTGGTGGTGGCGTTCCAAAGCGTGCCGTGATTGGTGGATTTTCGTCCAGTGGGGAGCCACTGTACGTTGCACGGGGCTATGTCGACGGAGAGTGTGTGGTCGGCAAGGTAAGTTATGCACAGTATCGCTTTACTAGTTGAGGGTATGACTAATCCTTGGAGTGAGGAACGAGATGGCACTGTGATTGGAACGCAAATTTACTGATCGGATAGTCCGTGCTTCGAACCCAACCTCTGCATCTCGACTCCCCCTAGCTAGACTTGAGCGTCCTGGCAGTATCCCAGGCCACGTACTTCTGGTGACATGGCAGTTAGACACCGAAAGGGTATCAAAGCTGAATTATATTTTTCCGGAGTGAGATGACATTAATATGTGGTTCGGATAACGCGCCTCAACCAAAGGTACATCGCAATGGTGGCTTCACACTTCAGCTGACCGAAAATCCCCTCTCAGCCACATACATCCCAAGGCTTGGCAAACAGGTGCGGCTCTTGAGCTTCAGTTAATTTAACCTTTTACTTGGATCGCTAATTCAAATACAGTGTTCCATTAGGACCTCCAGATTGTCAAACGAATTCGTTTGCATCGCAATAAATCGAGTCTATTGTAAAAGACTTGTCCAACAGCCACGCGGCTGTCTCATAGCGGGAGCCACTAAGTACAGAGTGTCAGGTAGGAGGATCATCACATGCCTGAAAACTCACTCATCAGCAAACAGACATTATGGCAGCTTGATATTCAATGAAACTTTTCGTTTATAAAATGCACTCGTCGGATCCCGTTGTCATATAATTTCATTTTTTACACAACTGGTCTATTCAAAATTGGGATAAATCAGTCTTCAGGTTGAAAACATGATTAACCAAGTTCTCGGAAAATTTTTGGAACAATCGATAAATTTATTATTAGTAGTGTTATTTCCGAAAACGATGACTATTCAGTCGGTCCCAGGCGCTTTCTAACTGAATGAGGACTAACTAACGTTTAAACAAGGCGAAACAGAAAGTTTACTTCTCATTGTCTAGAAGAAAGCAGCGAAGAACGGAGGTTTCGTTGTGAATTAAAAATGACGCGGTGGGCGCTTGAAACGCACAACCACACAGCCTGATTAAGACTGGCGAATTAGGCACTTTACCTTCTGGGCTTTTCATACATTTCAGCAGAACCACAGTTTTTATTGGACACTGTCATCCGGTTGAAGGCTGATGCATCTTTCGAGAGTGCTGTCCGTTTTATAATAGATTGGAGAATTCAAACGCCTCTCCCAGTAAACATGTGAAGTATATTGCTTTGCTCACTGGGGTCTTTTGTAACTTGTGGAAAGTACCCTTTGAGAATGAGGTGGGGAATTCGAACTAGCAGTTAACTCAAACGCAAGGGAGGTACAATGTTTCTACTCCAGTTGAATTCACACCGAGGCCTATGGTAACTTGAATGCAGCATTTTTATGTCATCCTCACCTAAAGCGTCAAGTTCTATGGGCCTTCTGTGCCTAGTCCCAAGCAAGATAACGTATCTGTGCGGCTGAACCCATCTGATGAGGCCTATAAGACCAGTCGATCAACCCAGCACGTTGAAGATGCTTGACAGCCTAGTAATATGTGTGTGAACGCAAACAGAAGGACCACTCAACCCCGAAATGATGACGGAAGAAAGTAAACTTCAATGTACTGTGAATTGGCATTGCAATTTATCCCTGTGATCGCACAAAATCATTGCCAAGTTGAATTGGACTCTCTTTAGATGAAATGTGTCAACAGCCACGATGGAATTTTCCAAGTGGCCTTATATTAGACAACTGGATGCCCGAGATTATCTAAACAAACGATTTACGCAAGCTTTCAAGAGTTGATTCTATGATTTCCTCAACAGTCTGACCGTACAACCTTGACCGGGTCCTTTGATTCCCTCTGATGATCTTGCAATGGAACAGTAGGATGATTTATTTTTTTCTAGAGTTATAGTTTTTTATCTGGAAAACTGCTGTCTAGTTATGTCCAGTCATGATAGTCTACTCAAAGCGGATTTCTGCCACCTTCCCCATTCTCTTCAGGTTCACGATGGCCACCAATGTGCCTACTTCCCGCATGGTGGAAGAGAGATCGCTTGTGATGACTATGAAGTTCTGGTGTGGGAAAAGTAATAGCACCGTGTCAATCCCAATTTCTTTATTCTGTATTATTGCGATGATAAAATGCATGGTTTCATAAGTGTGAATTTGGATCATTCCGATCTTTTTCGCCAGTTCACTGGGGTAGTTTACGACTGGTTTCACAGAACATCCCATTATCAGGAGGATAAAAAAACTACATACGTTAGTAGTGCTGAGCAGGTTATGTTTTTAAGGATTCGTCGGCGACCCAAAGCACCTTGAAGGCGACCGCTTAGCCAAGAGTATCCATCAACTCTTCCCTTTCTAGGCTTGTCAAAAACGCGTAGACCATGAGCCATTTCACGATCTTCACGTTGAGAGATGAAAAAAGATTCATTCATTTAACACTTGGGTCTGCAAAACGAAAAACACTGGCGTGGAAAGTACTCAGATAATCCATGATTCATTCATTGTAATCGTTGCCTAGCCATCCATTACTCGCTGTACTTTTATATTCGCGTCAATGAATTATTCCAACTGGACTTGGTTGTAAGATGGGCCAAAAAACTATCCGATTCAGGATGGTTAACGTGGAATCGCAGATCGACAAGTATCTGATTAGGTCATCATTATCATCAACCAGAACAATGGATGCTGATACCTTGAATGGGCCTTTACGTTTTGTCAGGTGCGCAAACGTTTTCCTTTTCCCCGCTGCTAAACAGCGTATCACTCGGTCAACTCTTGTTTGCAGTAACTCATGTTGTGTCACATCAACAAACGCGGAATATAAAAGATATATCCAACATGTAGAGTCGTCGACTGAGGTGCGACGAAGAGCAGTGCAACACCTCAAAAGAATCGGCACCAATTCCACTGGTCAAATCAATTGGGTTTTTAATAATTTTGCAAGTGACCGGAAAACTCATTCTCTTTATCAAGATTCTGCTGATTTACACAACATTGTTTCGTCCATTTCCGGCTGAAAGTTAGTTACCAAATTAGGGAAAGTTGGTAGTGTTTGAGTGAGCAGATATGAACAGATTACGTCCCGCATCCATCCGTCGCTTACCAAGCCAAAATCGTTGAATTAAGCATAAATGTATCACGCCTACTCTCTCCAGCTCAATTTTTCTCGCCTTTAGCGCATGACTAATGACAGGTGATGCATAGCTCTGACAGACCGTTCCACATTGTCGAGTGCCATTAACTTTCGCTCCGTCTACTGCAACACTGTTTTTGATGAATCCTCTTTTTGGTCAGCTATCAGTCACAACTAACTCTCAGAAGGAGTTCTTGTTGGACAGACCTGCCAATTGGTCCAAAGATGTTTGGTTTACTGCAAGCGATGCGTATTCCCTACGCGTTAGCTTTGAATGGATTGGTCCATCCTAATAATCGATAAGACCAGCGTCGCAAAACAGTAGTTAGGCAATCACTCGACTAGAGCAATACTCAGTACCATGCGTGCTGATGAGTTGAGCGTGCGCATCATACGTCGCTTGGTTTGCAAAGCGTAAGATGGCCAAACCAAAAGCATCGATCGTGTTTCGTTTAATTAGTCAGTCACACCCAAGAAACACATCACCGATGAATCCTGCTAGCACGGTGACTGACTCTAATAGTGCGTCTAGTTCTCAGCTTACTTATTCAGCTGAATAATTCGGTTCACATTCTTTGAACAAAAAACCTAAGCCAGATAAAACTTCATGACAGTGCACGTTCTTTGTTCACAGAAGTTAAACAGAGATTAGTTGTAGATGCTTGCCACTCATACACATCACTCTCGTTTGAGCAGTCATCCCGCTGTTCTAGAGCAGCTAGTCCGGTGAGTTCATAGCAAACCGGAGAAGCAGTGAACTGGGGCTTTGCCCGTATTAGAGCCCATCAGCTCGTCGGTCGGGCGTTTGCTTAGTTAGACTTGATGATTCAGATGCGTCCAACGTTTTCTGGTGTTGTAGTCGTCGCGCCCTCACTTCGCAAATCATATGTCGGGAGTTCAAAGTTCCTTATGGCTGAGAATGTGCTCTGTCGATGAGCTCTAATAATAGCGAGACTCGAACTGTCTGTGGTGTGGACTCACCGGAATAACGTTACCATGACAGGCGGACAACTGTTCAAAAGAGAGTGACTGGAACATAAAAACTGACGTTATTTCTGAAGCCCACCTCACCTATTTCCGTGATTTGGGATGACGGGTAAGAAAGCATCTGATGACGGCCCGCAAAAAAAACGATTCCCCTAAAAGTCTGTCAAAAAGGGAGGACTTATTATTGATGATCATCAAATGGGAGAATTTAAATCTATCTGTACGGAGGGGATTTCGGTGAGGAATTTCATTTTTCCTAAAATAATACACTACTCATAAGGTTGCTGAAAAACATTTGATAGCTCACGACTAACAAAACGTTGTATCTGAAGAACGCACAACCGATGAAGAGTATGAAGTTTCCATTCCGAGAAGATCCGAAAGATGGCGATTAGGACCACCACTCCACTATAAACATCCACACGCTCATTCAAGGTGTGGAGGATCTGATGAACATGATTGATACTGTATTCTATTCTCTTGTTTTGATATTACTTATGCTGTAAATATACGTGCTAAATTAACTCCCACACTGTCACATTCGGAAATACTACTATTGATGATCATCAAATGGGAGAATTTAAATCTACCTGGATAAAGAAACTATTTGGTGATAAAAAGACAGCCAAAATTCTAGCATGAGGAATTTTAATTTTCCCAGAATAATACACTACTCTTAAGGTTGCTGAACACCATTTGATAGCTCACGACGAGTTTTCCTGTCCTCGGACTAACCAGGGAGCCCAAGTTCCCAACTTTATGTTTGGTTGAATACTAAATCGTACACAGCTGGTGAAATATGCAATTTAACTTACTGAAGCGCTGTAAGCAATACAACAACCAGGTAGCGGACTGCTGGCAACAAAACTTCATCTGAATAGCTGTTTTAAGGTCTTTGCGAAATCGCCGCACACAGATGTGATATTTGTCCATGTGCCTAGGGAGTACTGTCCTTTTGGAACAGGAAGATCAAAAAATAATCCGAACGAGAAAACACACTGAAGTCCGCTTTCGGTACACATCGTGCGTACCTACCAAATGATCTTCTCTCCATTATTGTCCCAAAGAGGCTTTAAAAACCTGAGCTTACCAATGCTAAAGAATTTTTGGATCGAAATGTTTACTGTCGCGAGAAATCCTCTCTCCCCACAGTCAAAAGCTTTTTCTTCCCAAACCGAATGCTTTTTCTTAGCACTTACAGCAAAATTTCAAGGAATCTAAGTATACAAAGGTACGCCCTGGGTGAATCATCTGATCAAATTGTGCCGTTACCTTGTGTCAGCAAGCAAAGTCCAATGTAACGAGCATTCTGGCCTCAATCGCGCTAATGTGATCGTAGCGTCGTTTGTGTTCTTGCTAGACCCAACACTCCATGTGGAGGTTCAACGATCAAATTTCTTAGCGGTGTTAGCAAACATTATTGTTTGTTCGTATGTGATTCCGAATGAAAGCTAGCGCTGTGGTGTATCTCCTGAAAAAACGATGTATATTTTTCACTGGTAATCGATTGCTTGGAACACACTTGAAAAATCGGGTCATAGTGATGCGGCTAATTTGTCCGTTCCATATTTGCCCTACAATTTGGCACCAACATTTTCTCGATGGTAAAAATTTCAAAAGCAAAGCGAAAGTCTTGACTGACCGTCAGTTTTAAACTTTCATTCACACTGCTGTCGTGGCCCATCAGTCGAAACCCTGTATCTTTGGGTCGGTATGAAATATCACGTTGTATTTATACCCAACATCTGCAGTTCTAATTTTAGTGTTTGACGCTATCTGCCTTAGGAAAAAACCTAAAACAGGCATCGTGTGGGCGTATATTAACTCTTTCAGTGTGAAAAATTTTGCGATATAGACCTTCATTCAGGTAGACAGTTACCTGGAAATTTTGGGAAATGGTTGACTGGGTACAGCCGGAATAGATATTACAGCAGAACACCAGTCTTGGGCCATCGAAAAAGTTGTTTTGTGCAAAATTCTGCACTTTTCAGCTGACATAATAAAAGCTAAAGAACATCTGCATCGATTTGACCCGCTCATCTGCGTTGCACATGAACTGTCCACATTCCGATCAATCTCGCCGTTCAGAACATTGGTTTTTTCTTATTCCTTCCCCCGATTGTTCAGATGTAAGTTTTTTCAACCAAGTTGCACATATCACTGATGCATTTCAATCCGTTTGAGACTTATCGGTGAATTTTCACCATCGTGGAAGTTCTAATTACGGCAAAACCATCCGCTGGCCCTCAAAAATAAAATGAAAATGCTTTACTTTTCTGCACTTCAATACAATAACGAAAAAACGGCAGAAGTAAAAATTGTTGGACATCCGGTTCTAGAAATATTATGGGTAAACACTACACGAGCAGAGAAATCTCCCCAGCACAAAAAAGTAATCACAAATTCAGTTTATGCAGGGCTATAGCTCCCTGCATACTAAAAGGGTTCGTCATGAAGGTCTTGCTTTCTAAACGAGGAACTAATAAAGTCCTCATAGCTCGTCAGAACTTCTTCAGAACTTGTTCCGGGTTGGCTGACCTGGTGAGCGGATATCCAGTATTTAGTAGGCTCCGCTCTCAAAACAATCACAGGGCTGAGTCTGGATACTTGTGCTTAGTTTAACTCTTTCGAAACGACGGAAATGAACCAGAGGAATCAAGCTGACCATTTTCCAAATTCATGAGGATGCACTGTATTAGGTAACGAATGTAGCATCAGCTCCCAACGAAACAATAACAAAACAATCACAGCGCTTTCAATCGCATCCAATGTCATCAGATGCATAATAATACTAATAATAGTAATAATAATAATAGTTGCTGAGTTGCAACTGTCACTCGGAGGAAACACGGGGGCAGATATACTGCCAGATTGTCTAAGCCCATGGAGAGGGACTCGGGATGCTGATGTTGAATTCGAAACACAGACCTCCCGGCCAGTAATTTCGCGCTTCAACGTGTGAACCATCTCAAGCACAGTTGCTGACCATGCGTTTACAGTCAGAATGAAGCGTGGCTGAGGAATCTGCGGGTAATGGGGGTTGCGCGAAAATAGGGCAATGTCATAAAAAGTGGGAAGTATTCGATGAAATAATAATAATAATAGGTTTGTTTCGCAACTTGTAGGGAGCAATGGGCATAAGGTCCGACCAAGTACGCCAACATGTTTCGGGACTTCCAACTTTCTGAACGCTGCACACGGTCGGACGAATTCATTAAACTTGTAAATCACCGGTTTCACCATCCATCACAGCACTTTGATATTTCTCAACGAGGTTAATCTTGATAGGCTTGTATACATACTAGCACCTCCAACAAAGAACTGGTCAAGCCTAAACTGATGCTCAAACATAAACTGAGCATTTTTGTCGCAATGTTAGTCTACGCTTTGAAGCACTGTTCGACTGCTTTTGGATTATTTGGAGCCAAAATAGCACGCATTTTACCAAACCCTGAAAAGACTCAAAACTGCAACTCATTGGCGGGTGGATGACGGTCGTCATGTCGCTTGAACGAAAGTCGTTCATTGTCAGCATGACTAACCAGCAGCTCCAGTCAAAGCGTACAAGCCACGGAACATTTGAAGGGTATATGCTGAAGAGGCGCTGCGGTGTAACAATGGACTTAGTCTTGCAGTCAAAACCGTTTGACGCATGTACCTAGATGACATCCTCGCACCAATCCAATTGCCCATCTACCAATGGCATCCTGTCTGGAAGGATGGTGGTACTACGATACCGCAAAACAACCTATTCCATCACCGACACCAAACGGATTATTAGTGGCGTTAAAGAAAGCAAATGTAATGTCTACGGAACACCATACTACTTTTCATTTTTGCCTGGGGTGCCTAGCTATCAGGAGTATTAATCTAGAGGACCACACAGAAAAATGCGTACCTAGCGGGCTCAACCCCTTCTATATATATATATCCACCAAACAGTTATTTGGGAGACATGTTTCGTACCCCGGTGCAACATACAACACTAATTCTAGCTCGCAAGTTCTTCAACGAAATCCCTCCCGGGCCCAAACGAAATGCACAAGCGCAGCTGATATGGTACCTGTCGGCCGCTGTCCCCACAAATTCAGAAACCATTTACCCATGTAAAATATATGAAACTAAAGTACCATGGCCTGATAATCTATCTCGAAACGTCGGCGACGTAGCGATGTACAGTACGGTAGGCGGTCCAAGTGAAAGTTATATAGGCTTCAGTAGCCAGTTTAGGTGGGCTACGAACAATACAGCGCTAACTTGCTTGCGGAGACGTAGTTGCCTTTGGAAGTAGGGGGTTAATTGGAACATTATTCGGAGAAATCAAGCCCGAAAACTTACATCACTAGCCACTAAAACGAACAGGCATGGAGGTTAACGCGTATTTCCTCCATGAAGGCTGATGTGGCTGTTTGCATATTGCTCACAACACGTTTCCGAATTGGGGGGAGTAGGACGGAAACCGCTACGAATCCACAGTTGGAGGAGGCCCCTTCGTTCTGCACAAGGACCTGCAGAGACCAAACACGATTCCGGGGACTCCCAAAGTCTTCAGACGAGAGGAAACTAGTGCGACTTTTGGCCCACTGACTTCTGACCTCGGATCTCCCAGATGTCGGAACAAGGACGCACGGTGCAAAACAAGGAAGGTTTGACTTGAAGCAACGTATTCTGGCGAACCACAGAAGCTGGTATGTTGGCAGCCAGTAACATAAGTATCTGGTGATTGTCGCCTATCCTCCAACAGGTTCGTGTTTTTTTTCGTTGGGCAGTAAATTCTATCTCCGGAAAGACGGATCCACGTGCATTCTAATGAATAGAGGTGAGGGTACAAAGCCAGGCAGGAGTGAAACGCACAACCCGTATGGCCTACTTGGGATGACCTGAAGCAGTAAGCCGGGATTATTTTGAGCTCTTTTTGGACTCTCAAAATAGTCTTGCTCTTCGTGTAATCTGAGGCATTTTGTTTTAAGCACTGGCACGGTTAGAAAGAAAAAGAGGAGCTTACTTCCGCTCATGTGCTTAACAATTTTGTCGGTGTAATCAACAAAGCGAGCGTCGGTTGAATTACTCTCGGTTAGATGAATCTCCCTCCAAAAACGTTGCGACATTGTCGTTCAGTGATATGTCGAATGTCTTGTTATCAGTTCGGTCAGAGAAGTTCGATATCCACACACATTCATTAGAAACGCTTATGAGATGCGTGTCGAAACCCTTGACAAGCAAAAGGTCTTTTATCAACCTTCTCGACTACAATTTGAAAGCGGGCCAAAAAGTCGGCTGAATATTAGTGAAAGCATGTGGTTCGCTGTTAAACAGCGGGATCACTGGCAGTTTTTTTAAAGAAACAATTAGAGCTGCTCAATTCAAAACTCGACTGAGTTATGTTGGAGATAAGCTGTCTTCTACGGGTGTCATTAAGTAACCAAATTGAACTGGTGACCAAAATTGATGTTTGGAGGCTGATCAAATGCACAGCATATTGGAGCTGACCTTATCTTCTTATGGTAATGTGTAGGCTCCAATCGCCATATTTCGATGTGACGAACACAGATTGGCGTGCCTGGGCAGATTCTTGGTAGGAAATTGAGCCTGTCTCCTGAGGAGAAGAGCGACTGGCGATAACATAGACACGGGTCATTGATATCTGTTGATTCCGTTCATCAGAAGAAATCGGACATGATCACCGACCCGAGGGTTTTGGGTCGTGCTGCTCGTGCCCGGAGCAGAACCTACAGTTGACATTTTGAATTGGCATCACACGCTGAGTTACTCGCCTGTGAGGCGAATGAGGTCTCGGAAGTGAGTTAAGCACAGCCGATTGTTATACCTGTCAAGACCCACTATACTACAGTGCGCTCTGTTAACCGATAATGAATGTTGCACATCCGATTGGTTTGATCCTCAGTGTGGAATTTGTGGCAATTTGTACCTTTATTTTACTTCCATTAAAACACTACGTATTTCATCAATTGCATAATCATTTTTTGTTTGAATACGAAAAACTACAAAAAACGCGCACTTGTACAATATCACAGAATACAAGCGTGGTCACGTGCTTCGACTCTCTCTCTTCTGATTTCGCTCGCGCTTGCAGCGGCCATTCGCGAGTCTCGTGTACTAACTCTGGTACCAAAACATTTCAGACCATCTTCGGAATCTATTAGGCATGGAAACTGTTCAGAAACAGACCTCTGGACCAACATAATTAGATTATTGTTTATTCGCTGATCTGGGCCAACGACGAACTATTTTAAAGAGAACAATTGTTAGTGAGTCTGTTCCATCTGACCTCTCTATTATTGTATACCCAACCTGTGGTTGTTATTTTTATTTCTTTGCAACCCGCTCCTGGTAAACTGACTTATTGGGTAGCCAGATCTCTTCAGTGTCAAAGTTGCTTTGCTGTCAGCACTGACAGCCTGCGTGCCGGCAAACGTGCAACTATTGTGGAATCTGTGGTTCCCAATTTCCCGTTGGATTTATTCGCACCACCAGCAACAGTAATGTGCCTCGCTTCTTTGGACTGACTTTAAATAAGCAGCTAGCGTAAAAGGGCGCATCATCAATAAGTTGACCTTTAAAAATTTCTGCATTTTCCGATGTGATTGCAAGTGTGTGCAAGTGGCTCGTCTTGGTTGAAGATTCGTGAAACTAATTTTACCAGTTTGTGATAACCGATTTTTCCTATCTGTTTTCTTCAGAGAGAGTAACTTTCGATTCGTTCATGGCCAACAAACCGGCAAATCACAGACAGTTGTTTAATGGGCAACACATTCACAAATCTAGCCAACCTACCTTCCAAAAGTCGTTGTTTCTAATCAGTCGCTAGAATCATAACTTTTAGTAATAACTGTGGAATAAACGATTACTATTCTATTTGCAGTGTGAGTTGCCCCTGAGTAACAAGTTGATCAAACGTGTAGTAAAGAAATCATAGGACCGACTGCTGTTTTGATTGTTTTAAGTTTCTTTTTCCTTGGCTTCTTTGGATAGCCGAGATTTAGCGAACAGCTTCCGAGACTCCGAGCTTCTCGCTATGGTGCTGAAATACAGTTTACAAAGACGGTACAAATCAATGCACTCTTGGTTGTTTCTTGACTACCAAGACTAAGCAAGGCCATTTTGGTGTGAAATGCATGGAAATCACACCCGTTCATGTTGGACTAGTCGTTCTGTGTAAATTATTGCCATCTCTACTACACCAGTGGCCTTCTCGGCACTGGTTGCGAAGGGTCCTAGGAACTCAGGAACCAATGCAGACCTTTCAAATACCAAAGACGATGGCGCTTGCCAGGAAACAAGGCTCGTGTGTACGCAGCGCCCAGAGTACAAAAAGCTCTCCCCGCCTATTCCCCCAAAAGTCGATAGAGTCGCAACTGTGAACCCGACACACAAGGCACAACTTCTGAGCCGGACTGAGCCAGGCGTGCGGAGGCAATCGGCAAAGCCTACCGACAAATCAACACTGAGAGTTAACGCCGGCATCGAGGAACGCTGCGAAAACCCTACAACTACTGAGAAAGTGAAACTGCCAACCTCCAGCTCCATTCCGGCAAACGTGGCTTGTTTGATTGTGAACACAGTCGTCCGCCAAAACCTCAACAGCGAAAGCCAAAAGCCTGAGAGTATCGAACCAAAAAATCTTTCGTGCGTATTGTTGACCTCGCTTATCGCGGGCGACTCAGAGGTCCACACAAACACAAGAGAAAGGCGATCACATTCAAACGAACCGCATAAAATTTGCCAAATCAGAAAACTGCCTGCCAGCACCATGCTTGATGCACGATTGCTCTTTTCGTTACTAAGTTTGGTAGAAGGAGCCTTGAGTAACTCGTAGAAGTGACGACGGTTAATACAAAAAATAAGTCTTGGGATCAAAAGATGCGGTTTATTTACACGAGTGGGTAAAATTATGGGGAGGCTTCAGTCTTACGGACTCGTGGCGTTAAGGAAGTGCCCTAGTCTGCCATTGACCGGCTCGGTGGGTTGTCAAGTTCCGCACCCCAGAAAATAGCAAGAGGAATATTGGTGCGGAAGTGTGCGTTTCGTTGATTGTTTCCATGGCCAAGCTCGTGATTCTGATTGGCGGCATGGTCCCAAGAAATCCACAGAAGAAGTATTCAGGATAGGCTCAGCAGACCAGGCGCGATGACGCATGAGCAAGTAGGTTAGCTGCGTACATGCACATACACACGTGCTAATATGCCGTTGTAGCAAGGCCTTTAATGCAAGGTTGATGCCGGTACGGATGAGGAAAGCACGTGAAGAACGAAAAGGTATGGCTGGAGCAGGCGAGTGAATGGTGGAGTTTTCATAATCAGTTATTCCATAGTCGGGAGCTGAGTTCCTCGGGAACAGGAACGAGAGGAGAGAGTATGAGTAGTGGCTATAAAGACCGCCACAGTGTCTCTAGTGGACAGGCGCTTAAGAGAGAACAGATTGATAATCTGGGGATCATTCTCCGGAAAATTCACGCCAGCGAAGCTGGCACAGTCGATCCTTAGAAGTGTTCTCAATAAGCCTGATCAATCGCATCACGCAGAATGGTTACGCCAGAAGAGGAGCAAGCGAACTTCTGGGCTTCCAGTCACTCCACCCCGTCTGACGTACATAAGATCTTGGAGCGGGCTGGCAGCATTGTGGTGAACATTGACTCTATTCTATTCATTCTGTTTAGTGTATTTTTATATGCCTTGGTTTTACGATGCGATTGATAGTACGCCCGCGATA